GGGGGGGGGAGCCAGACGCCCCCCACGGGGCAAAGGGGCAGGGGGGCGACCAGGCCTGAACCCTGAGCAGCGCCAACAACTTCCCGGCCCCTGGCTGGGCACTGCTGGGGGGAAGCTCGCAGCACCAGGGTCCCCAGGGAGGGGGAGTCTCAGTGCCGTTGGAGGGGGGAGCTGGGACAGCGTCAGTTGCACAGGGACGGGGCCGCGTCTCAGGGCCGGGTTCCCAGAGGTGGATTCGGGGGGACGGGGTCAGGTTCCCGGGGCAGGGGATTCAAGGGGACAGGGCCGCGTCTCAGGGCCGGGTTCCCGGGGGAGGGGATTCGGGGGGACGGGGCCGCGTCTCGGGGCCGGGTTCCCAGGGGGGATTGGGAGGATGGGGCCGCGTCTCGGGGACGGGTTCAGGGGAGATTCGAGGCGACGGGGCCGCATCTTGGGGCCAGGTTCCCGGGGACAGGGTTCTGGGGGATGGGGCTGCGTCTCGATGCCGGGTTCCCGGGGGGGAGATTCAGGGGGATGGGGCCGCGTCTCGGGGCCGGGTTCCTGGGGGGTGATTTGGGGGGACGTGGCCGCGTCTTGGGGCCGGGTTCCCGGTGGGGTTGGGGGGACGGGGCCGTGTCTCGGGGGGGATTCAGGGAGACGGGGCCGCGTCTTGGTGCCGGGTTCCCGGTGGGGTTGGGGGGGACGGGGACGGGTCTCGGGGCCAGGTTCCCGGGGGAGGGGGTTGGGGGGCTGGGGCAATGGGATGGGGCCAATCACCCATCCCTCCATGGTCCGGGAGTGGGGGGATGGGAATCCAACCCAGTCACGTGACCCCTTGATGCCCCACCAGCTGCATGGGGGAGGGGAGGGAGAAGGGGGCGGGGTCTCAGATAGCGTTGCCTGGAGACACCAGCTTCCTTCCTAGCCGTGTCCTGTTGCCCGGCAACAGCTACCGGCTGCCACAAAAGGTATCAACATCTGAGCAGGGAGATGGGGCTGCGAGCTTCCCCCCAGCAGTGCCCCCAGCCAGGGCCCCTGGCGCTGTGAGCTTCCCCCCAGCAGTGCCCCAGCCAGGGCCCCTGGCGCTGCGAGCTTCACCCCAGCAGTGCCCCCAGCCAGGGCCCCTGGCGCTGTGAGCTTCCCCCCAGCAGTGCCCCAGCCAGGGCCCTGGTGCTGCGAGCTTCACCCCAGCAGTGCTCTGAGCCGGGACCCTGGCGCTGCGAGCTTCACCCCAGAAGTGCCCACAGCTGGGGACCCTGGTGCTGCGAGCTTCCCCCAGCAGTGCCCTCAGCAGTTAACTCGCCCCCTGAACCCTCAGCACTGAGACATGGCCCCTGCTATAACGCAGCCCCAAGGAACTGCCAGTCTGGAGACACAGCCCCTGTCTCACCCCCCCCCCCCCCAATACCATATCCCAGTCCCCCCCCACGCCGAAAACCCAGCACCCAGACCGGGCCATGCCCCTCCCCCGCCATAGCCCAGCTCCTGGCTAGCGACTCGGCACCGAGCCCTCCTGCCCAGGCCGCGCCAGGGAGCCGGGGGACGCTAACGTGGGGGGCACCTCTGTGCCCCCTGCAGCTGCGGGTGAGCGAGGCCTCGATCTCAGGGCTCGGAGGCAGGAGAGAGACACGGAATTGGGGGGGCCGCCAGGGGCCTGGGGCGATGAATGTGTAGAGGGGCCCCCTTGGGGGGGAGCAAGAGGGTTTGAGTGCTGGGGGCTGCCGAGAGGGGGAGGCCCTAGGAGAGAGGGGGGACTGTGGGGGTGGGGGCACATAGGGGGACCCTGTGTGGGGGGGGGGTTGGTCAAAGGCTCCCCTCCCCCTCCCAGAGCGGGGGCAGGGT